CAACTCAGAAAGCTCGAGCACAACCATTCAAGGCTCGAGCATTGTTGAAAACTCTATACCTACTTCAGTTTTTAACAATAACTTTTTACTCAAAACTCCAAATTGAGCAAACTTAGTGGCTCTGGAAAGAAGACTCGAAACCTGATGTTTTTGTCTGTTATAGCAATCTAAAGATTTGTGCTCTAAATGGGTCAAAATTGCATTACAACATCAAAATGAGTTGCTGACAAGTTAAGCCCGAGCCCTGACTCCAGAGCTCAGGCTCTGGCATCCTGAAGGTTTAAAATACATGCGGGAATTGCGTAAAATCACCCTTCTTTATTTCCTTATGAGCCCAATTGTAACCAAAAGCTAGAAAACCAATCCAAAGGGGATTAAGACTTATTTTCTCCTATAAAAGAAGAGGAAATGTCACAAGGAAAATAGTTTTGATTCCATCTATATCTCTCTCTCTCACACAGCAGCTTTTAGGGTTTTGAATAAGAAGATCCAAAAGGAGTTTTGGCAGTCCATGGTGATGAAGACCACAACAACACAGATGATATCTTGCGTTGTCATGAGTAGTTAATTCCTCTCTTAGGGCATTAATGTAGCCCGAATCCGAATACTATGATTTGATTGTTCTATACTTTGGGAATTTAATAGATTATGTATTTTGATTGCATGATTATGTGTAATTGACTTAATTCTATTAGTTTTTAATGATTACATAGTTTTTGAATGATTAATACTTTGTCTTAGATTTAATTATTCTTAAATTATATTCAACACATTCTAATTGGACGGTATTTGGTGGAGGCCCATCGGACATAAGAATGAGATCATGCAATGGTGTTCAAACGTTTTTCTTGAATGAATATTTTCATAATCTATGCCTAGGGAAGACGAGTTATACTGCAAAATTAGTTAAAAGTAGGTAGATAGATAATTCGTGCCAACTGAAGATAAGTTATAGTTAATTGAAATTCATGGAATATCTTTCTTTAAATCTGAATTAAACGAATGTTATTGAGTTTAATTCCATATGATACATAATTATTGAAATCCTAAGGTTGAACAGTTGACCATAGTATGTGGTTCATGGTGAAGTCAATCCTTAAGTATTTCTTCTGTTGATCTCAATCCTTTTATTCTGTTTATTTTCTTTTTATATTATTGAATTGCATCATAACACACAAAATCAAGTCTCTTTCTAAATTAAAATAGTATTAATTGAATACTTGATAAACCACCACAGTCCTTGAGGTTCAACACCTTCAACATAGCCCTATCTTACAAGGATTTGTTCTATTGTGAGTAGTATTTTATTATTGATAAATAAAACCACACATCAATACACACTAAAGTAACCTCACAAGACTATAGGGTTGCCTCAATTTGAATAGTAGGCAGCATGCAAAATGTATATATAGTGGGCACGAGTACCTAAACCTACCGGGGCACACAACCATCACTATATCTAGCTATACATCCCTGGCAATATACGCACCTTAACCACTGATCTTGAGATTCAAACTCATATCACAGTGTACACTATATACATATATAATGTCCATCCTATCCAAACCTAAAGTAATCCATCCAACCATATATTTCAATGGTATGTCATCCAACTATTGTATTGACCTGACACGAATAAGTAGGACTTAACTCTAAGGTTAATCCGTTCCCTTAATAATATAAATAAGTAGACTTAACATATAAGTTAATCCGTCCCTAATGTGCCCACATTCTATAATAATGCATTAATCCACAATATAACCAAATAAAGGTTTCCAATTCAAGGATAATGCAAATAATATTTATATCTAATAATCCAAATAAACATGATATAAATCATATATACATCCTTTGAATTTAATTGAGTAAAAGCAACAATTCTAAATAACATGTATTTAATTTTCATCATAAGAAATTAACATACAACTTAATTAAATTGAATACCTCTATAATCTGATTAAATTCATTTAAATCTAAAGAATTGATTAAAATAATTTAATACAATCATATTCAACTATTAATTTAACCTTTTAAATTAATTAAATTCCATACCTAGCATACGAACTTTAAATCATGCATTGAAATTCTCCATAAATCTAGTTTAACAATTTAAAAATTATTAAAACAGATTCCAACAATATAAGTACATGAACAGTATACAAAAACCCCAAAAATCCAGTCCCAGACAATATCGGTCGACCGACTCATTCATTCGGTCAGCCGAAAGGCCATATCCGGTCAACCGATGCTCTCTGTTCGGTCGGTCGATAGCCCCAGTCCGGTCGACCGATTCCTATACCGGTCGATCGAACCCTGCATCCCTGTTTATTCTTCGTTTCTAACGAATTTTGCCCTTTTAATCCCCATTGTTAAAAATTCTACATATTAAATCTACATCCCCAGAGTGTTTCAACAACAATTATATATTATATAAACATGCTTTGAACAACATAAAACACAATACATGCATCAATTTATCAAAACATGAAAAATCAACACAAACCCATTAATATAAACACATGAACTGTAATTTCAGATTTTATTCATGCAATTATATTCAATGAATTTAATTAAATTCTTGAAACTAATCTAGCATGCATAGGTTATGAATCAAAGGGAAAGAATAGAGAGAACTTGCCTTAGGGATTTTCAAACTTGAAATCCTAGCTTCCATCTTCCTTCTCTCTTCCTTCCTCTTCCTTCTCTCTCTAAACTCTTTGTTCTATATATTATGCGAAAATATTTCTAGCCCCCTTTTACAAACCTATAGTTATATATTTATAGGCAATAATAATAACCTTAATCATTTTCCGAATCTAAGTCTGCTAGTAAAGAAAATAATAAAAGAAAAAGGAAAAATATATTAAAAAGGTAAACTATATATATATAATCTTATATATATCCTTTATTAAATAAATATTTATCAGATTATTCCATATTATTATTAATACTAATATTAAAATAATATTAATAATAAATTACTATCCTTATATGTGTGTGTGTGTGTGTGTGTGTGTGTGTAAATACATGTACAACTATTTATGGATAATTATTCGTACCCATTAAACCTCCTATCCAAGTAATCTATGAGATCCAAAAGATTGGTCCATTATTACTATCCACATCTATACAAATAAAATAAAATAAAACAAAATACACATTTAATCAAATTAATTACAAATAAACAAACAAATCATTTAAACAAATACATCAATTAAATCATTTAATTCAAATAAACAATTTAAGCACATAATCTACATTTAATTAATAAAATCAATTAAACACGTAATCAAATAGCCAAATAATCAAATAAATAAATAAAAATACAATTAAAATAATTAAAATAATACCGAAACTATTCTTTAAAAATTAAGGGTATTATATCGAGATCCTTTCTGCGGAATGAATACCGTGCTAAACTGCAACTCCAAACAATAGTCTAAGTGTGAAATTCAAATAAATCAAACAAATCATTTAAGTAAACACATCAATTAAATCATTTAATTCAAATAAACCATTTAAGCACATAATCTATATTTAATTAATAAAATCAATTAAACACATAATTAAATAGCCAAATAATCAAATAAATAAATAAAAATACAATTAAAACAATTAAAATAATACCGAAACTATCCTTTAAAAATTAGGTGTATTACATTGAAATCATTTCTGCGAAATTAATACCGTGCTAAACTGCAACTCCAAACAATAGTCTAAGTGTGAAAATCGATTTCTCTCTCTTGACCTTTCACACATAAAGCTTTATTTGTCCTGTTTCATTGGTGCAGCAGGTTGGAATTCCCAACCGAAAAAAAAAAAAAAAAAAAGAGGAGGCGGCAAAAGCCAATATGCCACTTTGCAAAAGGAAAGGACCACCCACTTGATTGTAGGTTGAAATCTCCGAACCACTTGATTGTAGGTTGAAATTTCCGAACTTTGTGTGGCATTGAACAAATAATAAATTAATGCTACATAAACCAACTATATATTAGTACAAATAATAAATTAATGCTACATAAACCAACTATATATTAGTAATCTATACGTTACATTTTTTATTTCTCAAAAAAAAAAAAAATCCACATCCGATTATTATTCCTATTTAATCTTTCTAATTAACTTGATTAAGGGTTGTTTGGGATGTGATGACGTGGAGGGACAGGGAAAGAAAAGAAAGGATAAAGAAAATGTGTTTGGATGATTTTAGTAGAAAGAAAATAAATGATAAGGAAGAATTTGGAGGGATAACTATCCTCGTATTATTTTTTCAAAAATGAGAAGATAGGGAGGAAAATGATGGTGGGTTAATTAATATTTTTATAATTCTGAAATTGTCCTTAACAATTAAAAGTAAAAAATCATTATTCCACTTATATCCAATATAATTAAAAAAGTATGGTAGTAATTTAATTGTTGTTATTATTTTTTTTTTCTCCTATATCTTATTCAAATAAAAATATTATTATTATTTTCTTCTTCTTTTTTTTTTTTTTTTTTTTTTTTTTTTTTTTTTTTATCTTTCAAAACATGAATAAAAATTATTGACACCATTTTGCTTCTCTGCTCTCCTTGTACTATCATTTTTTATTATTTTCTCCCTTTTCTCAACGGAGCATAGGGACGGTTGTTTTTTATTCAAGAAAAAGGAAGTGCCAAACTCAAACACAAACATCCTTTTTGTCTTGTTCCAACTTTTCAATCCAACAAAAAGTCCTGCTCAATAGATACACTTTTAGCAAATACGATGACTAGTAATTGTACTTCGATAGATTTTTGCCAGACCTTTTCACTCTCCTCCCCCCGTGGAAAGCCCAACACTAGTGACAATACACTTGCCTAATCAAAAACCCAAACACAATTACCTCCTCGACTTTGACTTTGCGTCCATTGAAAAATTATACCCTTATATATACTAGAAGTATTAAAATAACAATTCTACGCCACCTTTTCAGTTTAAGTGTTTAAAAAAGATGTTTGTTGAGCAAAATTAAGAAGAAGAAACTATTGCCTTAGTTAACAGATACAGTAGACCTCTCTAACAGCTTCAAGTTCTCTAGCCATGGAGTCCACACCTCCCTCAACCATGTCAGAAACTGGTAAACTACACATAGTTATGTTCCCATGGTTAGCTTTCGGTCACATGCTCCCCTTCCTCGAGGTCTCAAGGCTCATCGCCCAGAAGGGTCACAAAATCTCCTTCGTTTCCACTCCTCGAAACATCGATCGCCTCCCAAAACTTCCTCCAAACGTAGCTCCTCTCATCAACTTTGTAAAACTTCCTCTACCCCATGTCGAAAATCTCCCCGAAAACGCCGAGTCCACCTCCGACCTACCTTACCACATGGTCAAGTACCTCAAGAGAGCCTATGATCTCCTCCAACAGCCATTGACAAGCTTTCTAGAAGCTGCTTCTCCTGATTGGGTTATCTATGACATGATACCTTATTGGGTAGGTGCAATTGCAGCTAAGCTACACATTTCAAGTGCTTTATTCTGTATCTTCATTGCCTCTTCTATGACTTATTTCGGACCAGCTTCATTCTTGCTGGAACCTCCAAACGATTATCCGAAGAAGCCGGAGGACTTCACCGTCCCGCCCAAGTGGGTTCCGTTCAAATCAACGGTTGCTTTTCGACTCTTTGAGATTATGCGACTTTTCGACGAGGTGGAAGGAGACGGCGAAGGCGGCGTTCCGGGTGTGCATCGGGTAGGAAAGGGCATTGAAGACTGTGATGTGATGATTCTCAGAAGTTCTTATGAGTTTGAACCAGAGTGGTTGAGAATTCTTGGAGATATTCACCGGCCAAAGCCTGTTATACCGGTGGGTCAGTTACCGGCGATATCTTATCATGACGATGACGAGGACCCTGCATGGAGGGAAATGAAAAAGTGGCTTGATGAACAGAGTAAAGGGTCAGTGGTTTATGTTGCATATGGGAGCGAGGCGAAACCGAGTCAAGCTGAACTCACTGAGATAGCTCTAGGATTGGAGCTATCCGAGTTACCGTTCTTTTGGGTTCTAAGGAAGCGGCGAGGGATGGCCGATACGGAGGTGATTGAGTTGCCGGAAGGGTTTGAGGAGAGAACCAGAGGACGTGGATGGGTGTGCACAGGTTGGGCTCCTCAATTTAAGATACTGAGCCATGACTCAGTGGGTGGGTTCTTGACTCACTCGGGTTGGAGTTCGGTGGTGGAGGGAATACAGTTTGGGAGAGCTCTTATACTATTGACATTTTTGGCGGAGCAAGGGTTGAATGCTAGGGTTTTGGAAGAGAAGAGGATGGGTTACTCGATACCGAGAGACGAGCGAGACGGGTCGTTTATGAGTGACTCGGTGGCTGAGTCACTGAGGTTGGTGATGGTAGAAGAAGGAGGGAAGATATTCAGGGACAAGGCCAAGGAGATGAGAGGACTGTTTGGTGACAGGAATACACAAGACAAGTATGTGGATAATTTGTTAGCTCATTTTCAAAGTCACGAAAAAAGGGGGACTCAAGGAGGAAATTTAAGTGATCCCAATGTAGATGTGAGTGAATAAGGTTGTTTTCTAGCTATAAATGCATGTAAGAGGAGTCTTTTACTAATTAATTAATGAATAAATGAGAATCAACTTTCTGTTCTTATTTGTTGTTTTGGGTTATTTTATTTTATTTATTTATTTATTTATTTTTTTCTTTCTCAGAATTTGGCCGGTGTTTTATTTGCTGTACACTATAGGGTAAAGTGCAAAAAAATCCCCCTGAACTATGTCCGAATTTACAAATAATTTCCTTAAATTATATTTTGCATGTGAATCATACCTACCTAAATTATCTCATTTAGTTGCAAAATGCCCCCAATGCCTTTAACTATTTTTTATTAAATGATCATAATGCAATTTCTTATTGAATTACACTTTATCTTTTTTTTTTTTCTTATTGAAATAAATTATGAAAAAAAAAAATCATATTAATTTGATGATATTCACCATTAAATTTGCATAAATTTACCTTTAATTTTTTAAATTAAATGTTTAAATAAATATCTTAAGTAGAAAAATTAAAAAAATTAAAGTAATTTATTAATTTTTCATGAATTTATTTAATAAAAAAGAAGGTATTTTTTATTTAAGTAATTTATTAATTTTTCATAAATTTATTGAATACAAAAGAAGGTATTTTTTATTTAAGTAATTTATTAATTTTTACATGAATTTATTGAATAAAAAAAGAAGGTATTTTTTATTTAAGTAATTTATTAATTTTTCATGAATATATTATATATTGTATGAAAAAGAATATATTTTTTCAAATTAAAAGAGTTTACACTAAGTATAATAAGTTTTATTATAAATAGTAAAGTTTTAATAATAAGTTAATAATTTTAGCAAATGGTAGTAAACAAATCTATTTGCTTTTTTTTTTTTTTTTTTTTTTCCAATTTATGATAAATTAATACTAATAATAAAATTAAGGTAAATGATATAATAAATAGTTAGATAAGAGAAAAAGGTCAAAATAAAAATAAAAAAATAAAAAATAATAAGAAATGAAAAATTTAATGAGATATGGTAAAATATTCTTTTGGAAGAGTTTATTAACAAATTAATAATTTAGGAGTAATTTGTAGTTCTAAAAAATTATTTTCAAAAGGACAATAATTTAAGAAGGTTTTTTTTACGCTTGAGCCTGTACTATATTAAAGATAGTTTGACTCTACCATTGCAAACAATAAAATCTTATGGTTTTTAAATAATAAAAATTATAAAAATAAAAAAATAAAAAGTCTTACAAACACACAAGCGCACCAAACAAGGACTCAGGACGAAGTAAGAGCCTTATTTTTTTATTTTTATTTTCTTGAATATTTTTATTTATAACCTCATTGACTAAAACAAAGAATTGAACCCTTAACAAAACTAGATACTATCTGACCTATTCGGGTTGGCTTGCAGTTAGTTAATCCGATTTTGAGACTGGTGTAATGATAGTAACTGTTAATATATAGTAAATAATTATTCATATATATATATATATATGAATGGCCATGGCTACTACGTGCCCTTACCTGCAGTCAAACTTCTTTTTTTCTCACTCTGTGTGTTTTCCTTTTGAGCCGCGGGTCAAAGTTAAAAAGAAGAAAATAAATAAATTATATATAGATAAATAATTTGGTGTCTTATTGACTGATTTTTTAAATTGGGTTATACCCTGGTTATTTGTTTACTATCTACTTTCTTACTCATCAGAAATATGGCACAACAAGTTATTTTGGGCACCCCCTTTTTAGCTTTGATCATGCCAATTGAGAAAATTGATTCTCAGGGAATATGCTCTAATTTACATGGTCAGTCAATCACTTTTCAATTTTTGACCCCACCAGTAAATAAGCATATCAATGCTCTTAAAGATAACATTATCTTTAAGGAAAAGTAACTAAATTATTTGCAAAAGGAGGTATCCTCCTTAGCAATTAATCAAAGATTGGTACAACCCACTGAGCAACAGAGATTAATCTCCATCTTGAGATCAGGGAGATTAACAGGACGAGAATTTTGTCATTGGTGTTCTAATCTGCTTAGAACTTCTTTCATGCTGTAATGATTTTCTGCTCTCAGAAAATCTGGATTATCCGTATCCTCATTAGATCGTGCCAAAGCAGAACCTATTTCAAAGACTTTCATCTTGATTTGAGGATCTTGGATATGATCTATAAGATCCAATAAGGATTGTTGAGTAGATGTTAAAACATTCAAGCTTAACCCATTCATTTCAACAATTGCCTTATAATAATCATCCTGAGCGGGATTATAGGAACATCTGGGATTTCCAACTTCTGCTTCAGAGGAAGAGGAAGACTGTAATTCCATAACAACATCCCCATAATCATCTGATGATTCTGGTTCAGAAGAACTAGTATTAAGTAACAATTTACTTAATTGAAGTCTCAGTTCATCTAAAGCTTTTGATCAAAATCAATTACAGCTTTTTAAAACTCAATTTTATGATTTTCTACAAGAACGCAAAATGGTTATACCTTTTGTTTCTTGGTTTTATATGACCAATTATTCTCTTGTTAATATAAACATACTGGATGATTTTCTCAAACCATGGACCACATCTGAAGATAAGGTTTACCACTCTGTCCATCCTCCCACTGAACATTTAATTCTGAAAAGAATTGACCCTGACAGTGGTGCAAAAGTGGAAGCCAAGGCTTATAGCCAACCTAAAATAATTGATCCATCCAGTACTGCTACTAAGAAAGATATTTCTCATGTTTACAGGCAGAACAATTATACGAATGTTTGTTTGCAAACGCTAGGGACCCAGCTTGGGAGAATTGAAACAGGAATAGACACGGTATTAAATACAATTAATACTAAGTGTATTACTGATAAGACTTCTCCTCCAGAAGCTTCCTTATCCAAAGCGTTGGTAAAACCTGCAATTGAAGTTAAAGGCTTCAATCTTTCACATCCTAAGAAGAATGAAGAATTCCTTACTCTTCTTACTCAGAAAATTCAAGGACTTAAAATTCAGACTTTATCCCATGATGAATCTGAAATAGGTTCTGATTCTGATGATGTGTTACCTCATATTAAGGTTTTCCAAACCGATTTTACTCAGATGCCTGAGTTAAACAGAATTGTCTATGATAAAAATATCCACTCTAATACAGCCCCTGCTCCGAGTAGATATTATTATTCCAGACCCACACTTCAAGATATCTTGTATGAAGAAGATTATTTTCATACACAGAAATCTTTTCATGGCAAGACCATTTATGAATGGAACATAGATGGGAAATCTGATTATCAGATTTATGAGGTTATTCATCAAATGTTGATGTATAGCCAAGTTTGTAAAATCAACAACAATACTGACCCAACCATTGCTAAATTTGTCATTGCTGGTTTTACAGGCATTCTTACTGAAACTTCCTCTGTGGAGATCAACCACACAAAGCAATTTTCGAATTCCAAAGATAGTCCTCTTACTTATAGTAAAGCTATCTTTAAGAGGCTTATAAGGCCTAGTGACTGGGGATTAAATCCTAATTTGTCAAGGAAAATATCCTATGGACACAGTTACAATTATTGGGATTATATCTCAGCTTGGACATATTCGTTCTTTTATCAAAATCCGAAGCATAAGCATTCTTGGTTCTTCAAGATATGCCCCCAATCAGTTAAGGCTGATTTCCCAAATTGGGTTATACCCTGGTGGGCTATATTTGGCCCTGATCTAGATATTTTGCCAGAATCAATTCGGCAGTTATACTTGTCATGGCAACATTGAGTGGTTTTCTCAAAATATTGAGTGGGAACCAATCCTTCCTGGATACAGTTCATATCTGCACCACTATCAAATGAGAATGTGAAAAGGATATTATATATATTTAAGATTATTGTTGTAACAAGATAAGGAGGTTAATATTCAAAACCACTGGTCTAGACTCCTCCGCCGCCACCAAAGATGTTAACGTAGTATTATATATGAAATAAAGCTTAAGCTCGAGGCGGAGGGTGTTGGAAGATTAATCTAGACTTATCTAGATCTATCTAAAAAGATTAAATAATACTTAAAAAGGTAAAAAGAATCTTATAATAATTGCTAATACATGAAACATTTTGGTTCATATGAAATATTTTGGTTTATTGTATATATTAAATTCATGTATTAGAAGTATATATGGAGTAGTATAGATAGATGAGTCATGTAAGTGTATGATACACACAAGCAATTGAGCAATACAAGATAAAGAATTCAGTTCTATAAAATTGAGTGTTTCTGAATTGAGTGTTTACTAATTCAGTTGAATATATGTGAGTGTATCCCATTTGTGTTCACTTACCCATCAAACTGCAACAAAGTGGTATCAAAGCTTTGTTAAAAGATCGGCAAAGAAAAATAGCATTTAACAACATGTTTCAATCCTAACTTCCCAAGTTTAGAGGGGAGAATTACAATCAATGGAGTATACAAATGAAGATGTTGTATGGATCTCAAGATTTATGGGAAATTATTGAAAACGGTTTTGTAGAACCGGAGAATCAAGTAGAGCTGAGTCAAGCACAACTCAATGAGTTGAAGGAGAATCGAAAGAAGGACAGGAAGACGTTGTTCTTCATTTATCAAGTAATTGATGAAGTAATTTTTAAAAGAATCTTAACGGCCATTACAGCAAAGCAAGCGTATGATACATTACTGGCCACTTATAAGGGTGAAGATAAAGTTAAAGTGGTGAGATTGCAAGCTCTTCGAATTGAATTCGATACGATTAAGATGAAAGATTTTGAAAGTGTAGAAGAATATTTTAATCGTATTCTTTCAATCACTAACTAATTGAAGGTGAATGAAAAAGATATTCAAGATCAAAAAATTGTTGAAAAAGTCTTTCGAAGTATTCCCAGAAAATGTGAACACGTCATTATAGCAATTGAAGAGTCGAAAGATTTGTCATCTTTGTCAATAAATAGCTTGATGGGATCACTCCAATCTTATGAGCTTCGATTAAAGAATTTTGATTCAACGCCTCTAGAACAAGCATTTCATGCTCAAAATTCTTTCAAAGAATGTTCGAGAGGAACAATAAGTGATCGAGGTGGCCAAGGAAGAGGAAGAAATAGTGAAGGAAAATTTTTTGAGTCTAAGGAAAATGCTAATTTTTCTCCTAATAAAGGAAGAGGAAGAAGAATGAATAGAGGTCGAGGCTGAGGTCAAGGTTGAAGCTGAGTCAGAGGACAAGGTAGAGGTCGTGGTGACTCATATCATCTCCAGTGTTTTAATTGTGGAAAATTGGGGCATTTTCAAGCAGATTGTTGGTTCAAAAAGAATGATA